CATCAAATGCATTGGTGTAGATGTAAACTTTATAAATATTTGATATATATTTTTTCTTCATCAAATGCATTGGTGTAGATGTAAACTTTATAAATATTTAATATATATTTTTTCTTCATCAAATGCATTGGTGTAGATGTAAACTTTATAAATATTTAATATATATTTTTTCTTCATCAAATGCATTGGTGTAGATGTAAACTTTATAAATATTTAATATATATTTTTTCTTCATCAAATGCATTGGTGTAGATGTAAACTTTATAAATATTTAATATATATTTTTTCTTCATCAAATGCATTGGTGTAGATGTAAACTTTATAAATATTTAATATATATTTTTTCTTCATCAAATGCATTGGTGTAGATGTAAACTTTATAAATATTTGATATATATTTTTTCTTCATCAAATGCATTGGTGTAGATGTAAACTTTATAAATATTTGATATATATTTTTTCTTCATCAAATGCATTGGTGTAGATGTAAACTTTATAAATATCATGTATCTCAGAAAATAAATTCTAGAGAATTTATTTTCTGAGTTAGAGATTATCCCATTTGATTTTCTTTGTTAGAGATTATCCCAAATTCTAGAGAATTTGGGATAATCTCTAACAAAGTAATTAACAAAGACAACACTCATGGTGTCAACCCAAGTAAACAGGTTAACCATCCAAATAAACAGGTTAACCATACAAATCACACTTTTGTTGTTAAAATTGTTTCTCATTCAAATGTTTCTCATTCATTCTACATCTTGTAGTGTGGACAAAATTTTTATCACAGTTGTACATAAATGTTTTCCAGAACTTTCTCCAGAACTGTCTAAACTATTTTACAAATGCTTAGCTAAATATTGTTTTCCCTCCTGTTTGAAAAATGGCATCTGCAATTCTAATTTTTTTAAAATCTCTATTCATCACTCCAACCTCCTTTACTATCACCCAGTCTTTTTACTATTATTAGGAAAGTCTTTGAATCTTTTAAATTAAAAATTTTGAAGATTTAAAGAATTAAAAATTTTTTAGTACTTATCCCGAGTCTAACTACTTACTCTCTGATCATCAATACAAATTTCAGTCTTTGTGGTTAGAAGGTTAGGCAAGGCTATTACTCTTGACATATTAAAGGCCTTTGATAATGTCTGATATGCTAATTATTTCCATAAGTTTGGTTTATGTGTCATATCTGGGTAATTATTAAGTCATTCTTTTCTAACTGCAGTATTAAGGTTGTCTTTTTGTGGACAACACTCTTTTTCATTTCCAGTAACCTCTGGGGTGCCACAAGATTCCATCTTCAGTCCTATATTGTTTTTTTTTCTATACTTAACATCTTCCTTACTTAAACTTACCTCAAAAGTGGCTCTATGACACAACTATACACTCCAGTCTTGGAAAAAATTCATCACATTTTGATTGTTTAGAACAGGCAGCTTATTTTGAATGCAATCTCTCTACAAAAAAAGCTTGCAGTGGTTGGTAAATTTTAAACCAAACAAAACTCAGTTGTTTGCTACTTTACAGCTTGTGGTTTGTGGTTAATAATTATCTCAATATTCTTGATATTCCTATATTGATGAATGGAAACACTCTTATTGTATGTTCTACTTTATGTCTTCTCTAATTATCATTCACTACTGACCTCTCATGGAAGTCATACATACCATTACAAAGTTAGCATCTGATGAGGTTGTTATATATTGTGCTCGTCATTAATCTACTCCTGATTCCATTCTCTGCCTCTATATTATATAGACCTTGCCTAGAAAAGAGAGCGAGAATCATTAGAAGAAACAGTCTAAATATGACAACTGCATCCCAAATGAGATATTTGGGATGCAGTTGTCATATTTAGACTGTTTCTTCTAATGATTCTCGCTCTCTTTTCTAGGCAAGGTCCGAGGCATTGCAGATGTTGTTAAACCCGCCTCTATTCCATTGTCATAAAGTTGCATCTCTTTCTCTTTTCTACAAATATTGTTGTGATCATTGATCATGTGAGCTATCATCATTTGTTTTACCAACAAAAACTCAACCTTGTGTGACTCATCATTCCCCTTAATTGCATCTTTTTAATGCAACTGTTCCTTTAAAAAATCTTTAATTGGTCTAGTTTTTTTGCCTCAAACATCGGAGCTTTGGAATTCTCTCCCATCATTCATCTCCCATCATCTCCGTCTTCATGTTTTTCTAGCTCACGCAATTTACAGTTATTTAAGTCTTCTGTCGACTGCTTTTTTATTTTTTACTTTTTAAATTCTTCTACTTTTTAAATTTTACTTTTTTGTCTCAATTTATTCCTACTATTTCTATTGTTTACTATTTAATCTTTGTTAACTCTTTTCTCAATTTAATCCTACTATTTCTATTGTTTACTATCTAATCTTGATTCTTGATAAATAGTTTTTCTCTCTCAATTTAATCTGTCCTACTATTTCTATTAATTACTTTTTAATCTTGATAAATGGTTTAATTGTTTAAAATGTCATTGCGAATTAGTTGTCATTGCATCTTAGCAAACCATACTTGAGTAAACCAAATTAAACCTTGGTAAATATTGCAACTATTTTTAATTTTGATTCAGTTTAAAATTTAGCAATAGCATCAACTACTTCTTTTTACGCCTGTCCAATCCTAGAACGTTGCTTTTTATGAAGCCATTTGCTTCAGACTCACATAAGGTAGTTAGAAGTAGAGTAAAAATCTAAAAAAAAATAATTTTCAAATTTAAATGGCTAGGAGAAGTTAACTTCGATTTAAAACACCCCAAGGCAGGGGTGCCTTGGAGCTCTTGGTTGAGTAAAGGCTAGAGATGGTGTCTCAATAAAAATACTTATCTTTGGCAGGTGTTAAATGCATCTGGCTACTGTCTTGTAGAAGGCCTCCTATGCAAAGATTTAAGGGGTAAATAGATTCTATCTGTTGACCAGAATTGCACCCCTTCTTCATCTATTAGGCTGGTATAGACATATTTATAATAGATTGTTTCCAGTTTAGGATGTTGAATGCTGGATCTTCTTGACTCAATGCATGGGTTTTGCTTGTGTCTCTTTTGCTTATGTTTTTATGACTAGGCAACTCATTTTATTATCTCCTAATGAGGGTACAGCTCTAAAACTCAGTTTTATAGTTCTGAGGCCAGCTATTAGTCAGGTTTCCCGAACTCTGTGGTAGCTCTCAAGTAACTTTTCTTTTGTTGAGTCTTATCTCTTGCAAAGTTCACCAGACCTACTTGCTCTTTGTGACTAATTTGAGTTCGGCTCTTGTGACCTTAGTGTTGATGGTTATCTTCCTTTAATTCATAAAGACTCAAATTGTCACATATTTGGCCTGGGCATTTACATTTATAAGAATTTACCCATTTGTTGGGAAAATAGGTTTGATTCCATAGACTTTTCATTTATTTAGCACCACTTTACTCTATTGTTTTTCTCTCTGTTCCATATTGCTCTCCTTTATCTCAAGACTGCACTCTTTTCGATGTTAATACTGATCAAATTGACCATCTCCTTCCTCTTTATCCTTCAGCCAATATCATTGTTATTGTTGACTTAAATGCTCATCACACTAAATGGCTTGGGTCTAGTTTCAGTGACTCTGCAGGCCTTAATCTCTAACTCAAATAGTCAACTTTCCAATTCGTTTTCCAAACAATCCAAATCATTTACCTCCTTTACTCAACTTATGTCTTGTTTCTGATCCTAGTCAGTGCTCAGTTTCTCTTTATACACCCTTAGGTGCTTCTGATTATGTTTTGATCTTTCTAAATTTATTCTTCTTCATCTTCAATCACCTTATTATTGTACCTCTTACAACTACCTTAAAGCTGACTGTGACTCTTTCTGTGATTTTCTTCGTAATGGCCCTTGGGTAGAAATCTTTCGTCCCCCTGCTGATAAATGTACTTCTTACATATCTTCTTGGATTTAGGCTGGTATGGAATCTTTTATTCCCTCTTGACAATTTTAAGTCAAGCCTCACTCTTCTCCATGGTTTTCCTCACATTGTGCTGCTGCAATTTCCATTCGAAACCATTACTTCCATATCCATCAGCAAAAACAATTCTCCAGAAAACGGATGTCTGTTTGTTACTGCTAGAAACCATTGTAACTCCTGCTATTCTCAGGTCATGAAATTCTGTATTTTATCACAAAAATTAAAGCTTTTGATAAGGTTTAACATGTTGGTCTTCTCTAATAAGTTTTCTTCTTACAGTGTATCAGGTAACATCTTTAAGATCAAATCCTTCCTTCCCATCATAGTATAAAACTTGATGAACAGCACTCTTTTTCATATTCTGTAACTTCAGAATATGAAAAAGAGTGCTGAAAGGGGTTCCTCAATGTTCTTTTACTGTAACTGTAAGTGCTCCAAAAATTCCTATTTGTTTACTTATTTCCCTCAAACATCAGTTCTTTGGAACTCGCTCCCTTTATCTTATTTTCCTAATTCATATGATTAGCAATCTTCTAAGTCATCTATTAATTGTTATTTTTCTTATAAACTTTATCTTTTCTCTTCCAGTAACTTCCAACTCTAATAGTGGTTGTTTGCAGCTTTGTTGGAAGTGAAGATGTTAAAAAAAAAAAAATTGTTTAAAAGTATTTTTGTTTGAGTTTGTAATGTTTCTATATGTTTTTAAAATATTTATGAATATAGTTCATACTATAATAACATGATCTAAATATTGTGATACAATATCTAAATTTTGGTTATAATTAACAGCAGTTTGTTGGTTATAATCAACTGCAATCTGTTGTTGTAATTAACTGCAATCTGCTATTGCAATCAACTGCAATCTGTTATTGCAATCAACTGCAATCTATTGTTGCAATCAACTGCAATCTGTTAGTTATAATCAAATGCACTCTGTTATTAAAATCAACTGCAATTTTTTGTTTTTAATTAGTATTAGACAATCATGTGGTTAATTTTTAAAACTATAAGGTTGTTAACTTTTATTGAGGTTTTTTATCATTGGCTTATTTTTATAGAGGTATTCTATCGTTGACTTGGTGTCCACAAGATTCAGATTTAGTTATGAGTTGTGGCAAGGTTAATTTTTGAAATATCTGAGTAAAGATGTATTTGTATTTTCATAATTAATATAACTATAAAATGATTGTTTTTTCTTTAAGGATAATCGAATATTGTGTTGGAATCCTAATAGCCAGTTAGCGAATGATGTAAATATACAAAATTCTTTTTTTTAGTGTAGTTAAAAAATTAAAATTAAATATTCAAAATGATTTTTTTTTTGATTTGTTAAAAATTTAAAAAGTAAATATTAAATATTATTATTTTTTTTTTGTTAAAAAAGTAATTAAAATAATTAATAATTAAAAAATAAATAAAAGTTTATATAAAATTTTATATAATACTTCATGTTGAAAGTTTTCAAAATTTTATTGGTAATTTCTTTTTAAAATCTATTTTTTAACTTTTTTTTTACTTAGATAGTTTATGAATTACCAACAATGTCTCAGTGGACATCTGATGTTAGTTGGTGTCCTCGTATACCAGGCATTATTGCCTCTTCATCATTTGACGGTCATGTCACTATAAGTTCTGTTATGGGAGGCTCACATCAAGTGCAAAAACAACAGCAACATAGTCAAGTATGAATAATTGTTTTCCTAACTTTCAGAGAAGTTTTTATTTAGTATCTATATAAATTTTTGTGTTCAACATTTTCTAATTTTTTATTGAAAAGTGAATTAATTTTATTGAAAAGTGAAATAATATGAGGAACTTAAGAAAACTTGAATTTATAAACTTCATAGACAATTTTTTCTCCATATAAGAATTGAAGAAAAATTTTTCATAATTATGATAACTTCAATATTTAACATTAAACACACAAAACTGGTTTTGTGTGTTTAAATTAGTTTTTTTTTGTTGAACAGAAACAAAATATGCACATCTGACACCCTATCACAATTAAAATATGAACATCTGATACCCTATCGCAATTAAAATATGCACATCTGACACCCTATCACAATTGATTACACCTGACACCATATCGCAATTAAAATATGCACATCTGACACCCTATCACAGTTAAAATATGCACATCTGACACCCTATCACAATTGATTCCATCTGACACCACATCGCAATTAAAATATGCACATCTGACACCCTATCACAATGCTTACATCTGACACCCTATCACAATTAGAATATGCACATCTGACACCCTATCACAATTAAAATATGCACATTTGATACTATCACAATAAAAATATGACATCTGACACCCTAACACAATTGATGATCAGGTTCTGATAAAAGTCACCAAAGTTTACAAAATTATATATTTAACAAGTTGGCGAATTCAATTTTCAATGTGTGTGCTATTGATTTAGATGTTTTGATGTTTTAATTCTTTTATTTCTATTATGACAGTTTGTAACTATTTTTCTATTTGACAGAGAATCATTGCAAGCTAAAATCTTCTGAAAGTTTAATTACAGAACACAATGGTTTCTTTTGTCATCACCAAGCTTGTGAAATTTTCCATGCATCTGTAAACTTTTTTAACAAAGCAACAATATCTTTGATTTCTGGATGTGTTCATGATGCAGTTTCTCCTCAAAAAGAAACTAAAGTCATCTTCTTTTCTTTTTTTTTTTTTCAAAATAAATTTTCCCTTAATCTCTATATTCAAAATATTCAACTCTAAAACTTATAACTTCAAATCATGGCTTGGAAAAACAAGCTTCTTGGAAATACAAGTTGAACATGAATTTTGTGTTTAAAACAATTTAAAACAACCTAATTACACTGGATGTTAAAACAACATAACTGAAATTAAACTAATAACATATTTTTTTTCTTTTTATTTTAGATTTCAGATTCATTTGGAATTCAAAAAGAAGATTTTACACCAAATTTAATGCATCAACCAACAACAGTTATAGTCCAGCCATTAAAAAAACCACCCAAGTGGATGAGACGTCCTTGTGGTGCTTGTTTTGCAGTTAGTTTTCATTTATATTGATGTTTTTCTTTACCAGTTTTTTTTTTTTTTTTGCATAAACAAACAGTGAAACAAGGCAAGTTGCTTACAAATGTATTTAAAAATGTGTAGCTTATTAATATATCAAACTCTAATTAGTCATTCTAGTATATAACATAATATTTTTTTAAGTAGACATTTAAAAAGGTTTTAAAGTTAACCAGTATTATCAGGTATTATCTAAACCTGGTTTAGGTATTATGTAGATAAATTTGTCTAAATAATACTTAACAATCATTATGTCAGCCCTCAAAGTAGAAAAAAAATATACAACAATTGGTTGTATTAGGTACAACATCCATTGGTTGAAATGAACAATACACTTATAAACTTTTCGTTGAGCATACAGAAATTAATCATTTAGTTTTGATCCCAAAAAATTTTAGATTCTAAAAATCCTGCAGGCACATTTTAAGAAAAAACTATTTTGAAAAAACTATTCTTTCTGGCTATATTTTTTACTATGAGTCTATAAATATTTTCTAAAATTTAATTACTAACTCACAAATAACATTTAAAAAATAACGTGTAGTTATTTAAATAAATTAAATATCGAAATTTCCAACAAATTTTTTCGATTACTTTGAGTTCTAAGGAAATTTTGATTAATTTGAGATTAGAAAATTTGACATGCCATAGAAAAGTTGAAGTTTCTCAGCTAATACTGTGATGTTGCTATGTGTTTCTTGCATATCACAGAACATCAATTAAGGATGTGGAGTCCCAAAAAGGACTCCGGCTTTAAATCACTGTTTTTCATAGTACTTTGCGTCTTGGAGCTCTAAAAATGTTGTTATGTCTAAAAATGACTTATGATCTGCAATAAGAAAAAATTTCATGAGATTTATTGACTTATTGTTTTCTATAGTTATTTATGGTACCTCTTGTTTGTATGTATTCTTATTTATAGTACCTTTTGTTTTTACCTAATAGTTTTTCAGAAATCCAGATTCCTTTTGGGACCATGCATCAATACAATTGACATTCGTCAATACAAAAGCAGAATTGATTTCCTATTTCATCAGTGTTTCTATGTTGGTTTGGGTTTTACAGATATGCAATAACTTTCATCGAACCTCCATCTTAGATATTTTTATGTACTTAATGTTCCGAATTAACCATTGTTCATCTATTGTAGTAAAAAATGCTAAAATCTGAATCTATGCCATTTCTTACAAATGTATTGAAGAGATCCTACTTTCTGTACTCAATGACAAACTTAAGATGTTCTTTAGTATCTTTAACATTAGTCTCTTTTTAAAAATAATTAATCTTTAACAATAGTTAATATTACAATAGTTAGTATTTTTTTTACTCTCCAAAAAAAAATTTTGAAATCCTTAAGTTATTACCAATAACTTGAAAATATTTTAAAGAAGCACAACTTTATGGAACCATCATTTGAACTCAAAGAACGACTTTCTCTGAAGTTATTTTATTTTTGTTTCATTTCCTATTTTTATATAAAAATTTTCAAAATGAATTTAATTTAAATTATTTTAAAAAGTAATCAATGTTAACTTTTTCATAATTAACCTAAGATTTTATTAGTTACAAGTTTGTAAATTTTGCTGTAGAAATCTCTTTACTACATTTCCATTTGACTGTTGTTGTTGGTTTTGCAGCTCAAACCAGGTACAGATCCAGCTGGATATTTCATAACCTAAACACTATAGTCATTGTTTACAATATGTTTGCAAAAAGTTTTTCCTCATTTTGTCTTAAAGGGATCCCAAACTCCCAACACATGTTGTGTTCATATTAAAGATAATGTTAAAAAAAAAGGTTTGAACCAAATTTTTTTGATTAAAAATAAATAATGAATGCATACCGTGAAAAACAAATGTTGTTGTTTTTGCCGAAGCTCGTCTTCTCCATTTTTTTCAACTACTCGGAGTCTTCAAATTATGCGTCACAATCTACAGACTTTGGCAATTCCTTTGAAGCGCGTTTAATTCATAAAAGTTTTAATATTTGACGTCACGGTAGACTTTTAACAAAAGAAACTCTGGAAATATTTTTATTTATTTTTAGTCGAAGTTTTTTTGGTTATTTGTTTAGTTTTTTTTTTCTACTTTTAATATTTAAAAAGATATTAAAAACCTTAAATATTTTATGCTGGTTCGTTGCTATAAATTGTTATTGCGCCATATATTTAATGTTTATAAATTATGAATATTTATCTCAAAATTTTCATCTTAAAAATTGTTTTACATTAATTACCCGTATAAAATTAAAAATATTTATCTAAGTAAAAAATATTTATCTCAAAAATTGTTTTACATTAATTACCCGTATAAAATTAGTAACAGCTTTTTTATTTGGTTAGACGATATTTCGTTTCAATTTGCTTTGCATGAAGTTCGGAAAGTCAAACGAAAAAAATAAGTTTGAATAATCACGTCGAAATATATTTAAAACAAATTATTTTAATGACGGGGGTTCTAAAGTTTTTTATAACAAATTTAGGTAAAAAAATAAATAACTAAATAAAAAGTTCAGTATTAAACACCATTTCTTTATTATATTGCAACTGTAAATATTGAATTATTAACTTGAACTAAATTTACTTATTATTTAGAACGACTAAGCAATAAAAATAAAATGCCCCTAAAATTATGCGAGATTGTGTTGTTTATTTGATAACTGTAGTTGGTAATGTTGTTTATGTTGATTATTTTCATAAATATCAAAATAGTTCCAGATTAATCTGTTCGTTGCTTTGCTCATTGTTGATTTATTTCTCTTTTTATAAAAGAGTAGAACAAAAGAGAAAGAAAAGTTTCGCGTAATTAAACTTTGAATGAATAAGAGTTGTATAGAATATATATATTTTTTGCGTCACTCGTTCTTTTTTTAGATGAGAGAAATAAAAGTTAAATAGTAAATTTTCTTTGAATAAATGAGAATTGGAAGAGAAAATTGCTTAAAAATTTGTATTGGTTAATTGTGTTTTTAAATTTTTAAATTTTTCATGTTAAGAGACAAATGCCAATTACGACACAAATTTGAAAATACCAAATATAATGTTTTTTAATGCGCGTTATGACATTTTAACAATTTAAATTACCATCTATCTTGAATTATTGCCTTTTAATTAATGTGTTAATTATTGCGTTATTTAATAATAATTTGTCCGTATTTTTGTTAAATATTAGTTGTATAAAACGGGCGAAAATATACAAACTTCATGTTTTTTATTTGATGGTTATAAAATATTGAACAGTAAACTTATAATCAAAATTTATAATGCCGACTTGTGTTGCAATTAATTGTACTTTAAATGCAAAATCAGGATCTCACATATCCTTTCACGAATTTTCATATCTGATACTACTGTCAACTGTATTGTTTAGTGTATTCTTGTACTTTTTTTTCATAATCTTAACAGGTTCTAATTGGTATGGAGTTGCTGACATTTTAAAAATTTCATTATCAAAAATCAAATGTAAAATAAAATGGTATTTCCTTTTTATCCATATTCAATTCAGCAAATTTAACAATTTAAATTAAATCAGCGTGATCAAAAAAATTTTCTAATAAAAAAAGTTAACAATTCATTAAATATCTCTAATTAATACTGTCAGTTTATGAAAGTAATTGTTAATAAATACTTTTTTTCAATGGGAAAACAAAAAATTGTCATAGCGTAAAAATAACCAGAGAAGTTAGAAAATAGTTCCCATTGTTTAAACAAAAATAATTAAGAATCAGAATATATAATACTGCGCTCTCTTGCGCAAAAACAAGAGACCGTATATAAAACATTCTATATAATCCAAAATACTCGTATGAAAATCATGAGATTGGTAAGTAAAGCTTTAATATTTGTTTTAATTTAAATAATTAAAGAAATATAAGTAAGATATATAAATCTAAAAATTATTAAGATATCTGTAAAAAATAAGTTGCTCCTATAAAATAAAAATAATTTGTTTTTACTTTTTACAAAATTTTTTTTGCGATGATTTGAAAAATAATACCAATAAATTTGTTTTGCTGTATGTTAAAAAAATACTACAGTAGCAAAACGCAGCTTAGTTTAGTTACACTTTTCTTTTGTTAAAAGTCTACCGTGACGTCAAATATTAAAACTTTTATGAATTAAACGCGCTTCAAAGGAATTGCCAAAGTCTGTAGATTGTGACGCATAATTTGAAGACTCCGAGTAGTTGAAAAAAATGGAGAAGACGAGCTTCGGCAAAAACAACAACATTTGTTTTTCACGGTATGCATTCATTATTTATTTTTAATCAAAAAAATTTGGTTCAAACCTTTTTTTTTAACATTATCTTTAATATGAACACAACATGTGTTGGGAGTTTGGGATCCCTTTAATGCTATACACTTGGTGTTTTTAGTAAGGCAACAAGCACAGACTAAAAGTTTATTCAGCTTATAAGATCTTTTTAACTTAAATTTCCTTTACCGATAAATGTATTATAAATGAATTCATTTTGAACTCTACGTGAAATTTTAATAGCTACTAAAGTATCATATAACAGTAACTTAAAAAATATGTTATTTATATGATATATATATATATATATACAGCGCTCGAAATAACGGCTGATCAACGATCAATGATCGTCGACTTTTGGAAAAAATGAAATTTTGAACTCCCAAAATTAATTATGGCCGATCAAATTTGATCATCTAAATTGCATGTCACACATTAGAATAAAAAATTTTTTAACATTTAAAAAAGAATCTTAAATTTATTAAATTAGCATTAAAAAAAATATGTTCATTATTGCTGAATTAAACAAGTTTTTAGACCAATAATAATCTTTTAGTTCACATTAAAAATGGTAATTAAAAAGAAGCGCGAAGTTTATTGTAAATAACTTAATAATGCTTTTGATTGGTGGAATAAACATAGCGTTGATTTCGTAACAGTCTTCAGTTCGAAAGTTTATTAACTGTAAAAGAATTATTTTAATAAAGAGAATTCATTTGAATAAAATGAATTAATAACTAGAAAGGTTAACATTTCTTTGATTGTCTGAAAAATAATGAACAAAGCAAGTTTGTGATTCGTTGGAAAACTTCATTTTGAAATCATCGTGACAATTTAAATTGAAAGAAACAGTTTTTGTTTTAAAGTTTTAGAAATTAAATGGTAAGTTTAAAAATAATCTTAAAATGGAAGCATACAAAAAGCGTCAAACATTTATTTCTTTTTAAAGAAACTTAGTATCTGGAACACCCGCTGAGAAAAAACTAAAAACTTATGACAGAAAGCTACAATTACAAACAGCTAATAAATGGAAAGTCTCTACGCTTGCAAAATATAATGCTAATGATTGGCTTGAAATTGAAAGCGTTGACGGAATAGTTACAGCGCTAAAATGCAAAGTATGCCGAGAATATGCATCGCAAATTCAGATTTTAAAAGGCTACACTCCGGAATGGAGCTGTGGAAAAGGATGTAGTCGATTGCAACATAGTTCTGCAATCACGCATGCAGAGGGAGTGTCTCATCAGAAGGCTTTTGAGATTTTTATGAAAACGAGAGGCATGAATTTGTGCGATCGAATTGAAAAACTAAACGAGTTGCAGCAGGAAATGCGGCAAACAGACATTTTATCCGGTATTCAAACCATGAATAGTAAAGACTTGGATTTGACAAAAAATTTGAGGTCGCTTACTTTATAGCAAAAGAAGAACTATCGCTTTGCCTATACCCAAAAATAATTCAATTAGAAGAGAAACATGGTGTAGTTTTTGGTCAGGCTTATAAAAACGAAAACACATGCGGAGTATTTATTGACTACATTGCTCTTAGTTTAGCGATAGATCTCAAAAATAAACTAAATACTCGAAATTTTTTCACTATTTTAATTGACGGTTCTAACGACGTTTCAATTAAGGAAAAAGAAGCTATATTTGCCGTTACTTTTAATCCGGCTCCAACTGGAAAATCTGAAGTAAACGTTGAATGTGATTTTCTTTCACTTTTGGATGTTGAGTATGGAACTTCGCACGGAGTTTTCAACACCATAAAAAAGTCACTCGAGAATATAGAAGTTGTAAATTGCAATAAAAAACTAGTTGGATTTGGTGCGGATGGCGCATCCGTTAACAGAGGGAGCAAGTCGGGCGTTAAAATGTTGCTCAAGGCTGAAGTCCCCTGGATCACGTTTGGCTGGTGTGTAGCACATTGTCTCGAGTTATCATTAAAAGAAAAATTAGGAAAAACAGCCTCATTCAATGACGTTGATTACATGATTTTAAAAATGCATTACATTTACAAAAAATCCCCCAAAAAGTTAAGACAGTTGGGTGAACTCGTTTCTAATTTAGAAGATGATGAATATAACATTGGTGGTTACCGACCTAAGAAAGCCTCCGGTATTTTCTTTTTTTTGCTTGATTTATTTATCTTATATTTATTACCATTACAGTTATGCGTGACGCCTATATTTTTAGTTTTTGCAAGTATAAAGTAAATTATAAATTGTATAATCTTGTTTCATTTTTAGGTACACGATGGATTTCACATAAAGTTCAGGCTTTAGAAATGATTTTAGATAAATACGGTGTTTATTTAACACATCTGGAAAATATAACTGAAGATATAACATTTACCAATGCTGAAAGAGCTAAGTTTAAAGGATACCACAAAAAGTGGATTCATGCTAGAATGCCCCTTTATATCGCGTTGTTTATTGAGATTTTAGCACCAGCAAAGATGTTGTCAAAATGTTTTCAAAGTGATGAGATAGATGTGTTGGCTTCATCAGGGTTTGTTCAACAAGCTAAAAGCCATTTAAATCGTATTCAAAAAACAAAGTTTATTAATTTGCCAACAGTAAAACGTTTTCTCGCCAAAGTGACTGAAAAAGAAGGAAAGTTTTATTTCCAGGGTGTTGCACTTAACGACTTTGTAAATGCTAAACATTTAGTAAAAAAGTCTAAATCTATTCATATCGAGTTGGTAACAAATTCAATCATAGAGTGTTTGGAAACAAGCGATACTATTACTGATATGTATGGTACAAAAGTTTTAAATACAGAAGGTTGGCTTCAAAGTATTGAAAATGAAACATTCTTGGATGAAGGAATAAAAAATCTTTTTGACTTTTATAGAGCGTCGTTGCGACATGCTGGTTTTGCAGGAACTGTAAATGATGTTTTGGATGCTTGGCATAGCTTGGTAAACTACACTGTAAAATATTTAGCACCACATAATACCGGTTATCGTAAGTTATGGCATCAAATTTTTTCTAGCTCAATGAAAAATGAATGGGTTCCGGTTTTACTTATTGTCGAACTATTATTTACTTTGCCTGTTTCTAATGCAAAAGTTGAACGCCTTTTTTCACTAATGAATAGAGTAAAAATGGATACAAGAAACTCTCTGAAAGAGAAACGTTTAGAAAATTTAATTCGAGTAAGTTTCGATGAAAAAGATTCCAATTTATTTGATTTAAGTTCTGCTATCGAGTTATGGACCAATGATGCCGTGCGAAGGCCAAAACAATCAGTAAGAAAATGCTATTCCAAAAGAGCAAAAAAAGCAGGATTAAAAACATTAATCGACTTGGATTCATCATCTAACGAATCAAGTAATGAATAGCGCAAAACAAGATTATTTTTTCTCACCTTTTTTTAGTTTAAAAAAGTTTTAATAATCAAATATTGGTTAAAAAGTTCATCACCTTTTTATTGTGTCATTTTTGTTAAAAAACGATCATTATATAAAAAACAATTGTTCGAGTCACAAAAAATATTTTTACGTCACTTAAAAGGCAACGCGTTGAAGTGAAATAGTGAATTAAGAGCTAAGTTTAAAAGTAAAAACTATAAACGATAACGCGGACGTACGCTGTTGTATTCAAAAACCAATAGCGTTCAGCTAGTGTTCTAAAAATAGATTTTTTTAGTACTAAAAGGCATTAAGGTAAAGATATTTTAGAAAATTGCACAAAATCAATAGAATTTTCTAAAAATGCAATTTATTGTAGGTTGATAGCGGTAAAACAAACAATTTGACGTCACCTAAACTGTACGCTATTAAAGAAAAAGTTAAGAAAAATTTGATCTTCTGGATAATTTTTTGATCGTCTACTTTATTACTTTTATTATTTCTGCCGATCAGTGTTGATCGGCAACCTTCAAATAATTATTTTGAGCGCTGTATATATATATATATATATATATATATATATATATATATATGTATATATATATATATATATATATATATATATATATGTATATATATATATATATATATATATATATATATATATATATATATATATATATATATATATATATATATATATATTATATATATATATTAAAATTAAATAGGTTTAAAAGCAAATGCTAACTTCTAATCTAATTAAACATCACCTGTAAATAACTATAAATAATTTATAAATGCTTGATAATGAGATTGATCTTAAAGTTTTTTATTATAAACTATATTCTTTTGTATCAAAACACTAGTGTCAAAAAAGGGTTTTGCTTAAAATTGCTGTGATTATAGCCTGAGAGTAGTAAAAAAAAATTCTGAAATTTGAATGATATAAGTATTGTATGACAATATTTCTGAACAATAAAGACAGTAATGCTTATTAAAGTTATTAAATATTGGAACATTCAAAAAAATTATATTATTTTAAATTTATTAAAAAATTATTGTATTGTCAATTTATAATAAGAAAATAAAGTATTGTAAATTTATGTTTAGTTTGGTGGTAAGATAGTTTCTTTTGGTACATTTGATGAAAAAAAAGTAAGTGTTTTCTTTTCTTTTTTACTTTTTTTTTTTGACAAAAAATGTAAATTTAGTTAAGTTCATATGATTATACTTGAGTGTTTTTTTTTTGTTATTTTTTTTATTTCATTAAAAAATTAACAAAAAAAAGGGTGGTATTACCAGACTCTTTATGCTTTACACATAGTGTTCAAATCCAATCTGTTTGAACATATTTTTGAAAGATACATTATTATTATTATTATGGTTATATCAATTGAGTTGTATATACTTAAAAGACACTTAAACATATTTTAAATTTTGTTTAAAATTTACCTGCTTTAAATACAAAACTAAGTTATTAAAAATAATTTTATTACATTGAAAAATATTTAAGTTAATACTTTGATGTAAAGAACTCTTTGATATATCCATATGTTATATTGTTGCAGAGGTTTTGTTTTGGATTTTATCTATAATATGCAAGAGGTTTTAGGTAAAACCGAACCATGTCTGTGGTAGTTATTTTTGTAAACCTTGTTGGTTTATGCTAATACTGATCATTCTTTATATGGATACTTAGTGATTGTATCACTTGGTCAAATTAATGGTGACAGTTATAACATGATGATGTGTTGTTGCATCAGTAAAGGCATGGTAATTATGGTTGATGAAAAAACAGTTAAAATTTTTGTTTATATAGTAATGCTTTTATATATTAATTCACTCCAAACAAGGAAGAGCATTCTTAGCAAGCAACCAGTATTAAGTTAAGAGCTAGTAAAAAACAAAGAATATTGTTAAAAAGCATGGAAATAGTTGACACTTGACTTGAAATATAATCAAATTAAGTATCCTCAACTGTTTTTAAAATCAAAACCACAAAATAACAGAATAAAATCAAAACGCAATATAACATGATAAAATCAAAACTACAAAATAACAGAATAAAATCAAAACCACAATATAACAGTATAAAATCAAAACCACAAAATAACAGAATAAAATCAAAACTGCAATATAACATGATAAAATCAAAACACAATATAACATGATAAAATCAAAACCACAATATAACATGATAAAATCAAAACCACAAAATAACAAGATAAAATCAAAACCAACAAAAAATAACAGGGAGCAGATTCACAAAATTTTTAAGCGTAAGTTTGGGGTAAGTTTAGAACTTACGCCCAACTTGCTAATTTTATACTCACAAAAGTTTCACAAATAACTTGCAATTTATCTTGCGTAAGTTTAACTCTCAAATTATGGCATTCACAAAACTTCTTTAAAAAATGCTCAGCTTGATTTAAGCAAGAAAAATCACATTAGGTAGGAGCTACCTAAACTTTGGCGTAACTTTAAAATAATGACGCAGCTCACATATATTGATTTTTTTATTAAGATTTGCGATATGATTTTTTAAAACTTGTGATAAATATAGTCTAAATGTTCCTTTAAATTATTGAATCCTCTATACTATACTATAGTATATTCTATAGATATGTCACATATATACAAAGTATAGTCATACACTTTATTACAAAGTTTATTATATTTTACAGATTTTATTACAAATCTCGGCATACCCAACATAGTTGGTTTTTTTTGCCATAAAAGTTATATAATCAAACCACTTTGCTGTGCTTAAATGTTACGTAATTTCTTTTTATGTGTAGATTGAAAGCTAATGTTATCTTTTTTTAGTTATGAATGGTAAATATAGCCTGAATATAATTATTTATTCTTTTTTTTTTAGTGAAGAATAAAATAAATATACTATTTTTAATTGCACATTATAAAAACTGATGTTTGAGGAGAAGAAAAACTTGTGCTTCTAGAGTTTTTTTAAAAATGGTTGAGGAAAATCAAGGACAAAGGAAAAGGACATTGCAAAAGTTGTGGTTTTGTGAATTTGAGGCATCATTTTCAGAATTAAGACATTCAATGTGTTGTTGAACTATTAGAACCTGGTTCTAAGCAGCAAATATTATTGAAACATGTGCAAAGAGAAAAACCAGGACAGCCTGTTGTAATTAGGAACATAATCAAGTTAATATTTATTGATTTATCTGATGAAAACATTTTAGAAAAGGTGCCTTCATGAAAAAACTTAAAACAGTAAAAAAATTTTAAATGCAAAAATTTAAAAATAGTGTTTAAAAGATAAAGTGGTAAACTAAATGTTTATTTAGAACTAATAATCCTGGTAATAATTGTATTTTGCAATCAAAAAGATAAAAGTATAGCAAAAAAATCAAGTGATTAAACCAACATTGGAAACAAATTAGAGCAAAATGAAAAAGTTAAATTGATCAAGATAAATAAAATGAGATGGAATAACTTATGATGTTGGATATTTTTAGCGATTTTAATTTCCAATCTTCCAATTAATATTTTTATTGAAATTTGAAATAGGGTTAACAGAATTTTTACATTTTGTAGAATACTTATTTATAATTTTTAAATTTTTTAGAATGCTGCTACAATAAATAACATGAATAACTAACTACTCATTGCATTGCTTTGAAATTTTGTACAGTTGTAGTATATATGATAAACTCATTAAAGCAATAAATTTGTTTGATTTTATTCTTGAACAGATTTATTGGATTCTAAAGTGTGCTATTTTGAGATAAATTTTGGCTAATTAGTTGTTTATGCTATAACTTCTTCATGCTTTAAACTAGCTTAATGATTTTGCTTTAATGAGTATCTTTTTAAATTATAAGTAAACACTAAAAGTTTGAGCTTTTATATGATCTAACATTATCTCAATACCTATCGATGAATCTCCTGGCTTTTTTAAGGTTCGTGATACAAAACTAGGGTCCAAATGTGAAATTTTTAAATTTAATCTTATCTGTGAAATTTTTTTATTTTTTAGTTAAGCGCAGCTTTTGCGCATCTTTAACTTTACGCAAACGCTGCGAAGTGTTTGTGAATATATACGAATAGTTACGAAAAAATAAATTTGCGTACGGTTTCCGTATGTTACGCAAGAGTTACAAAAGTTTTGTGAATCCGCACCCAGGATATGATCAAAAAAATAAAATTTATGACAAGATAAAAGATTTAGTTTATAACACAATAAAAATTAAAATTTTTTTTATACCATTTGTTTTTTTAATCTAGAAAAATGTGTTATCAGGCTTGATCGGGAAGTGGGTGCGATCGCACTCAATAACTGACCATGGAAATAATATTTAGTTGCGAAAAATCATCCAGATTTTTTATTCGTTTTGAGAACATTTAAATTTATGTATGTTTCCTTAATTAAGTTCATTATTTTTATCATAAATTTTAAATTATTTTGTTTTACGGACATACATGGAAACATACATAAACTTGAATGTTCTCAAACATCTTTTTGCGGAAAAATAAAAAAAGAATATTTGCGACACACAAAAAACCCGCCAAATCTACAACAACTAATTCTATTGGTTCAAAAAATACTACCCGAAATTTCTAGAGTATTTTGTTGAAATATTTTAAAAAATTCTATTATTTGAGTTTTGTTATGTTTTTGTTGTGATTTCTAGTTTACAAACTCGTTATACTTAAACTTAAAGTTACTTTTTTCTGTTTTAAATACAAATTAAAATTATAAAGCCCACTCACTAAACATCATCAGCGTTATTGTGAAGCAGTTCCGCTTCCTCCTCACATAATAATTTAACGTTTTTAGTTAATTTCTATTTAGCTAATTGAATTTCTACAGTAACTCAATGATTTAATTATTTCATTTGTTCATCTTACTAAGATAAATTGTTGCAAATGTGTTAAACTTTTCAAACTACGCGAAGCATAAAACAGTTATATAAAAAACTTTTTTAATTATAAATAAATCATATAGCGTTAGTTTTATTGGTTGAATCTTGTTGGACTTTTCAGGGCCGGGGACTGAATTATTTTGGCAGCCTTTTTTATGTGCCACAGCGTAAAAATGACAAAAAAAAATACCAAATGGTCCTCTTGACTATTTCGCGACCCCTAACATAGTGAGTCCCAAGGCTATAGCCCTTCTACTCCTCTTCCCCCCCCCCCCACCTCTTCAATCCAGCACTGGAAAAATACATTAGTATATAAATAAAAATTGTATATACTCTTTAAATCGAAGAACATTTGTTTCCTAATTAATCAATCATTAATAGTAAGTTGTTACTTTATACAAAAAATGTCATTAATTTTCTTAAAAAAATTATAAAAGACATTTCAAAAATATTTGCTCTAATCGGATTTATTTTGCTTTAAGTTTTTTCGCGTTAAAAGCTATTTTTCTTTTTTTAACTGTCTCTCATTGGTCCAGTTATTGTGCTTTTTTGTTTGTTTTTGAAATGTTAACATATTAAAAATTATATAACTTATATAAACTGTGTTCCATTCAAATTTATGAATTAATATTACAATGAATAATTTATATTTAAAATTATTATTTTTTTAATTATTTGTTTTTAGGTTTATATTAGTCAAGTAGTAACAGAAAATGAGCTCTTAATTCGATCACATGAACTTGAAAGTTCATTAATTAGTGGCAACCTATTGGAGTATTGTGAACATAAGATCTCAGTTGAGTCTGCACAAAATGAGAAAATGCTGTGGCAGTTTTTGAAAGTAAATTCTCAAACTTATTTCATATGCTTTTTCACTTAATACACCATTTATTTTTTAGACCATTTATAAAAAAAATATTTTTTAGCTATATTTATTGTTTATGCTTTTGTTTATTATTTAGTTAATAAAATATTTATAGTTCTATGTATTATTAGAAAATTTCTTCTAAATATTTTTTTATACAGTTTACAAATAATCAAAAACCTTTTCTTATTTACAGAGCAACTTGGGAAATGAACCAAGAATGGAGTTTTTAAAACTCTTAGGTTATGATCCATTAGCACTTGCTCAAAAGGTCAGGGTTTTTTTTATCTAAATCTTTCAAAAACTTCTTTATATTACTATTTAATTCTTTACTTTATTTTCAAAATGTACAAAAATATGTTGGTTTTTTGAAAATTGTTTTGTTATTTTTTTAATAAACTCTTTGTACTTGCTAAAAATTATTTCTACCTTCGCGTTACATTTGCCAGATGTCATAAATTGTTTCTACCTCCTGGTCAAAGAAAATGTTGTTTGTTTTTAAAAGTATAAGCTTTTTTATTAAACTTTGCATTAAGTTTTTAAATAATTGAGTTTTTATGATATTGATTATATTTTTATGGTGAGTCTTTGAGTGATTTTTATAGTGACTATGTGAATGTATGAAAGTGATATATAAAATATTCACATTTGATAACTACTTTGTATGCTAAAATAAAGATGTTTTTTAAAAGTCATCATGGCTGATGGAGCATATGGAAACAACAAAAAAAGCAACCTTGTTTTTGTTTAAGAAAAAATCTAGAAAAAAAAAAAAAGACTTTCTTAAACTTTATTTAAGTTCAATGACATTGGTTATAATTTTGAGCAAAAAAAAGTTTTTTTAATAATTTTTTGATTTAGTATAGTTTCTGGTTTATATTTTATTTAGGGATGTACCGAAAATTGGGCTTCAGCTTCTGCACTTTTGCTAAAGCTTTGGCTTCAGCCAAAACCTGGGTTTATGTTTGCCGAATCATTATCTTCTGCCAATTTTTTTGGTAGTTAAAGTTACTTAAGCTTGGTTTTCAATAATTGTAGAAATACTGTCAAATAGTTGTGTAATTTTGTTGCACAGCAACTTTTGCAGGAACCAATATGTTTCTATTTCCACAACATTTACCTTAGATTTCCATCCGAACAGTCCAAAACAGCTTTAGTTCACTTATTGTTACATATTTTTTGGGGGGATTTTGGGGAAAACTGATTAATAAATTGGAACACTAGGGTAATAAAAAAATGAAACATTTTTTTTTAAATATATAATGATACCATGAAATTTTGTAATTGCAAGTAAAACACTTTTTAAAACCCTGTAAAATCAACAGTATAAAACCAACTTAAAAAAAAAGGCAAATTAAATTGCATACTGTTCGATGTAGAATTTAATGGTGATTATCTAAAAAAAAAAAAAAGTCAAAAACTAGCAATACTTTGTAAGATATTTAAAAAACAGTACTTTTCTGCATAATTTAAACATTTCCCGAATTCCGAACAGATTTTGGAGTGCATTTTATTTTTTGCAAAAGTTGGCATTTCTACACGCAAGTTATTAACAACAATTTTTAACAATAGTATTTTAACGACATTTACTTTAAAACACTTTTAACTTTTTTAAAAACACTTTTAACTTTTTTAATGAATTTCTAAGCCTCTTGTTTATCTTGACATTTGTTAATAAAAAAGAAATGTCAAAATTAAAAAAAATTAAGATCTCAAAACAAAAACTAAACTTTGTATTAAGGCTATCAATAATAATATGTCATATTCAGAAGTCTCTTTATGCCATAACATTCCTTAAACAACTATTTTTTGCAGAATAAAAGGAATAAATGAAGCGTAAAAATGAAGCTGGTGTTGTCGGTAGGCCAAGAGCAATAAGCCAAGTAATAGGATTATAATCAAACATTTATTTAACACTCAAGATTTTAATCAGGGTTTAAGAAGATCTTCATTACATTCTTAATCATTGTTTACTATCCGAGTGCTTCAGAATTAGTTTGTTTTTACTGAAATTGATTTTATGTTTAATGCTTCAGGATTGGTTCTTTTTGTAACTTGGGATAAAAAAAAATCTTTAATTTTCCTTCAATCTGGTTGAAATAGATTTATGCCAGATGCTAAAATATTGTAAAATAACTTTGTGTATGTGTGCTGTGAGTACGAAGTTTTTGATACTTAAAAGTTTCCAAAAAATCATAATAATCTTTACTCGAATCTGAAAAAACATTAAAAAAATAAAGAAGAGACGCACTTATAAATTAGCATTAAATTTATGTTGACTTTTGTTGATGAGATAAGTTAGTTATAAAAGATCATTTTCAACATTAAAATTAGTTAAACTACTTTTTATCTGGATATACCATATGTGATAAATTATATATCTGGATATATGTTATTATTTTATTATATTATATGAAGTTATTGATATTGTAACTGTAAAATAATTTAAATACAAAAAATCAAGTTAAATTAATTTTAACACAACAAAACCAAACAAGTCAAATACTATAGCTTTAATTAGTTAACCCAAACATACTGAAGTGACTTTGAGTATACATAAACTATGTGCAATTACAAATGTGCATTTAACCACTTTTTTAGTTTATATTTATCAGTGTTCCCTTCATTTTATTGCTTCTTTATTTGTAAAAGATTTGTAAAAGATGTTTATTAACTTGAATAAAATGTTTTAATGATTTTTTATAATCATAACTTGTTTCTTTGTAAAGAATTAGTTATAACTTTAGAAAACATGCCAAAACTTTAGCATCAAATCCTAGCCCTCAGTTAATGTATTTTTAAAAGCAGTACTATAATTCCATTTCTATTTTATTTATATTGGTTACATATAAATATTTTATTTATATTGGTTACATATAAATATTTTATTTATATTGGTTACATATAAATATTTTATTTATATTGGCTACATATAAATATTTTATTTATATTGGTTGCATATAAATATTTTATTTATATTGGTTACATATAAAACCATCTCCTTTATATCATAAGCTTTTCCTTTTTATGTTGTAGTTTATGACAATTTTATGTTATAGATATCTACACTAAGTCATTCTGAAGTTCCAGTTAAGAATGAAACATTGCAAGGGATAAATCCTACAGAATTAGCATCCAAGATAGAGTTATTAAAAACAAGAAATTTTGATAATAATAAAAAGCATCTGGAAAGTGGAGGGACATCACCCATAATGGGTCGAAAGGTAAAATACTATAATTTTTTTATGTGTTCTTTGGAAAAATGTGTTACCGTTTTTATTTATATTACTGACTTTCAAAGATCAGATCTTAAATTTCATTAATTTAATTTTTAAATACTCAATGAAAGTAACAATTTATTAGAAAGAAAATTAAAAAATAGAAAATTACAAAATATTAGCACATAGTATTTATTTAGTGGATTATATTAAAGAACAGGCTCACTGTTTAGTATATAGTTATATTTTTGAACAGGTTCACTGTTTAGTATATAATTATATTAGTGAACAGGTTCACCGTTTAGTATATAGTATATTTTTGAACAGGTTCACTGTTTCGTACATAATTATATTAATGAGCAGGTTCACTGTTTAGTATATAATTATATTATTGAACAAGTTCACTGTTTAGTATATAATTGTAAAAGTGAACTGGTTCATTGTTTAGTATATAATATTACTTTTTATATATTACTTTTTATATATAATTATTATACATATAAATACTTTTTGTTGATGTTTTAGCAGCAATACTTAATGTCTAAAAGTTGTGTTTTTAAAAACGCTTTAGATTTAGTTTTTGTGGCTAATTTGTTTTAATTTATTATAAAGACAATGTTTAGTAAGCTGAGTGGTCATTTGAATCTTAGTTGCAAAGTGGATAATCAAAACATTTGTATCTTAGTTATAAAGTGGGTAATTAAAAAAAATTTAAACTCCTTATTGTTGTTTTACACATTGTAAGTACACACACTCTCAATGGGCTTATTAGTAAACACAAATCAATTTGCTGTACCTGTGTGTCTTGCTGTACCTGTGTGTCTTGCTGTACCTGTGTGTCTTGCTGTATCTGTGTGTCTTGAACAGAAAAATCACATTGATGTCTGCTACTTTTGCACACAGGTTCAATGAATGCTTGTAAAAACATCAAATACTCAAATTGTCTTTTAGCAATATAGCCAATGCTTCATAGAGATAGATGTCTGTACCTTCGACACCAGCACATCCTCCTAACATTGATGACTCTTTGAGTTTATGTGCCATTTTTTGACATTTACTTTATTAGTCAGACTTGTTTGAATGGTGGTATTTTTACTGGTCTAAGGATCAGACATGTTATACAATAAAGTGATTTTGAAAAAGTGTTAAGCAAAACCCAACTTTTTTCCATGTGTCATTTATTTATTTGAATGTCATGCAAATTAATAGTGTCTAATTTTATAGGAAAACACAAATTGAACAGTTTTGTCAATGAACATCTTTACCGCTACAATGCCATGGGATGTAGAATGTCCCTCAAACTCCGCTTTCTGTTTTCTCATTTCTTTCCAGAAAATCTTTTAAAAAACTTTTTAAAAAAGCATTCATCAGTAAACTTTGTACATGAAGCAAAGACATCAAGGAATGTTGGATACATCCCTAATGGTTGGGTGGCTTTGACTGGTTTTAGCTGATATACAGTAGTGTTGAATACAGATGACAGAACCAATCAATTCAACATTTCTAACAAATAATTGATTGGAGTTAGTATGGCTATTTGAGATGATATATGGTAGTTGTCATAATAACTTAATTTTTCTAATTTTTTTGTTGCACAGTGTAATCAATCTTGAGTTTTTGAAAGAAGTTTGTGCATTTTTTTCCAAGTAGACTTTGGATCTAGAAAATTAAATACAATGTTTTTTAGATTACAAAATTAGATTTCATAAATTTATGAAATTTAATTTTCCTAAGGTTCCTGATAAAAGCGTTGATGAAAGCGGTTCCTTTCATAAAATTCATGGAAAGTTCATTATCATTAAGAATTTATTTGATATAATGGAAAGTAGTTTCTTTATCATAGAAAACTAGAACAAAATTCTTTAAACCAGATTTTAAGAATAAACACAGAATTTAAGGAGAATAAGATAAAGAAAAACATTATTGCTTTTGTTTAATCATAATTTTTATAGTGGTGGTAATTAACTTCTCCACAGAATCACATTTATAATTTGAAGAGCACCATCAAACTTTTTGCTTGATGTTAAAATAAAATGTTGCTAGTAAAATTTTATGCATACCTGATCGATATTGTTGATTGTGTTATGTAAACTTGTTTGATGTTTCTAGTTGTGTATGTTGGTTGGTTGGTGATGTTGGTCTGTATTGTATGCTGGTCAGTAATGTTGATTGCTTTTACTCTTTGTTGCTATAACAGTTTTAATCAATTGTTTTTGGATCAGGGCAATCAGTTGCATATGCAGAAACTAACTGCAAATGTATGACTGCATTTTAAGTACAACTAAATACTGAGTAAATATTAAATCACCTAAATTAAAAAATGTTAAAATATTTGATTATACTTATAGATTATACTTTTAAATGTTATCCTTAGTTATACATTTTTTTCTGGATCTTATTACATTAGGTTACTACATAATATATTATTTAGTTCATAATTATGTTGTTATTTACTTTTTTAATAAACTTCTTTTTTTTTTCTCTTCTAGACTCCAATAAGTGATGGAAGTCATGATGATATAGTGACTGAATATCAGGAGGAACAAGAAATAACAGAAGGTTCTTTATTTCTTGAAAAATTATGTATAAAGTAAAAAAATTATGTAATTGTATAATAAACTAAAATACTTAACTTTAGTAATAAAAGATTCAAAACTGTTTGCTATACCTACTGGAGATGGTAAGAACTTTTAAACTTCTTTTTTTAACTTTTTCTAAAAGGTGTTTTTAACCTTCAATTTTTTATTTATTACTTCTATTGTCATTTATTAAATGGATTTCCTAAAGCACTCAGACACATCTCTGTTTCTTAAACAAAAATAAATTAAAAATAACACCTGTAATTAATAGTAAACCTGCTTTTTAACTTTCAAAAATTTAATGAAAAGTCTTTTTTATCAGTTTTAATGCAATTGAACTTTAACTGTAAAACTATGTTGTAGAAAAAATGAGGTCGGCAATGTTTTGCCATCCTTAATCTTTTAGAGGTCTGCAAAAAAAAATTTAATACAAAGGTTTTACTATAAAAAATAAAAATGAGATTGTCAATTTGCTGTTGACCTCAAACATTTTAAGTTCAGAACGTGGGGTTGGCATTGCCAACCCAACTTTCTGAATTCCAAGGGTTTCTGAATTCAAACTGAATCCCAACTTTCTGAATTCCAACTTTCTGAATTCCGAAACTTTCTAATTCTAAGGGCTGTATTATTAACTGTATATGTTTAATATTTTACATATCATTAACTGCTTAGTATTTAATAATAATGTTTAATATTTTTAGTACCTTTACAAATCATTAACTGAATATATTTAATATTTTTATGTTTTTAGTTCATTTACATATTATTCACTCCATATGTTTAATATTTTACATATTATTCACTCCATTTGTTTAATATTTTCATATCATAACGTGCATATGTTTAATATTTTTATCTTGTATGTTTATTGTATAAAGATTTTAATAAAATTTTTGTCTAGTTTGATTTTACTTTTTTGTTTGATTTTAAAATCTTTAGCCAAAATAATTTAAAAATAAATAAATGAAACATATTTTTTTGTTTTAAATTTTTTTTTTTTTCATTTGTCAACAAAATTAAATGAAAAAATATTTTTCCTAGCTTGTTGGAAAGGGTACTAAAATTTTTATATATTACTATCAGTAATATTGTCTCAGGATGGTCTTATATATCACTATCAGTGATATTGTCTCAGGATGGTCTTGAAACCTTGGTAAGACTTACTAGTCTTAAAACCTACTGTTTATGTCTTTGTCTTGAGTTGTTTGTTTTTGGTTCTTATCTTGGTTTTAAACTTTGTGCCTTGTCTACACCACTGAAAATATCAAATTTATATTTTTATAATTCATTTTAAAGTTTTTATCTTAAATAAAAAATAATTTATAATCAGTTTTAAAAGAAATGAATAAACAAACAAAAAAAAAACAAGCAACTTTGTTCACAATTATTACAACAAAAAGTATGTAAGCAAGAATCAAATAAATTAGAAATGATCTATTTGATTATCTTTTTGTTAGTCTTTAAGTTAGTAAAACTTATTCAATAACAAATTTTTATATTAAAATGATTATAGGGTTCTTTTATGTTAAATCAGCAAAAAAAAAGAAAGAAATATCATGTTATGTTGTTAATTTTTCCAGTTTGCATATGTTGAAACGCTTATAAATATTTGGAATGAAATTTATTGCTAATTTATTTATTACAAAAATAGCAATATTGCATCTTTTGCCCTCCAAAAAAAATTATTAGGAATATCTTAATTTTAAATTATAATTTATAATTAGATTTATAACTTATTAATTAATTTTAGTTTCATTAATTTAAGTGTAATATTTTGACTCATAGTTGAAGTCATATTTTATCTCCAACTATATGAGCCAAAATATTACACTTAAAATTAATAAAATTTGAATAAGTTAAATATGCACTATATGTATTTTAATTATATATATATATATATAAATATATATATATATATAAATATATATATATATATATATATATATATATATATATATATATATATATATATATATATATATATATATATATATATATATATAGTCCACAATCCAGCGTCTAAATTATCATGAACAATAATAATTACAATTTTTAAATTAAATCTTAAAAATTTTTATATACAGGGTTTCAGTTTAGTTTTTTAAAAATTTACTTATTGAATATTAAATAAAATAAAGATAACATTTTTAAGTAATATAGATAAAACTCATTTTTAAAACCGTTGTGTGAATTTTGTTGGTTATTAATAAATAATGTTAATTTGTATGGTAGCGGTTTCAAAGGAAGCATAAATTTTAAAACTCAATAAATTTTGATATAGATGCAGATGGCCTAATTTGTCAAGCCTTGTTGACTGGAAACTTTGATGCTGCAGTGGAGATTTGTTTTAAAAACAATAAAATGGCGGATGGAATATTATTAGCAATTGCTGGTGGACCTGACCTGTTTACAAGAACTCAAAAAAATTATCTTGAGCGTCAATGCAATTCCACGACTAAGGTATTTTTTACTTATGAGTTCTGTTTTTTTAGAAGGTTTATTATTTTTTTTTTTTGAATTCTAATATTTAATTATTCTAAGCTTAAGCTTTAAAACACTGTACACAATAGAACACTGTACATAGTAGATACTTTAGAATACTGTACACATAGATTCTTTAGAACACTGTACATAGTAGATACTTTAGAATACTGTACACATAGATTCTTTAGAACACAGTAGGTTCTAGTACATGAGTGTTAGAGTAAAATACTATAAATTTTCAATTAATTGAAATTAAATTATGTTAAAAAATGTTATTTTTTTAACATAATTTAATTTCAATTATGTTAAAAAAATAACATTTTTTAACATAATTTAATTTTTACATTTTTTATCTTGTTTTATTTCATAAGAGTTAAATGTTTTTATATTTTGATTAAAGGTGAAAAAATTTAACTCGACATGCCAATGACCAATCTGACATACCAATCTGACTCTTAAGATTGAATAAAGTTTCAAACAATTTCCGGTCATAAACAGGTTGACCCGCTTAATCGTTTTATTGAACAGGTCATGTTAGTGTTTGAGATACTTATTTATAACTTGAGCCTGGCAATTTATTTATATACTTATAAAGGTTATAAGTAGCTACCTTTTTACTCTCCCAGCTACAGCCCGCAATTTTTTTTTCTCGCCTCCACACAACTTCCCTTATAACCACTGTATCGTTATATTTTGCAAATAATTATTTCTACAATTGATCTATAACTGACGGATATATTTGTTATAATTGTCTTAAATTATCAAATTATGAACTGTAATTATCTTTAGTGTATTCACCTCAAAAATATTGATACAATATTCTGCAATAGAAGTATTTAATTTATAAAAGTAAGACGAATAAAAGCAAAAAATCAAAGATACAAATAGCAGACAAACAAATTAATGCAAAAACTGAAAACAGACAAAAACTGAAAAATAAGTTGTACAACAATGTGATGTGCTTTGCCATGAATTGAGAGAACTTATAAAATTAAATACAAATATAATAAAACTTTTTATAAAAACCTACAAAATAAATACAAAAAACAAGCAAATGCTAGAATAAGATTATTAAATTTCATAAATGACAGGTAAAATATGAGCTTAACAAAAGGCAGATATCAAAATATTTTTTTGATACCAGTCGTTTTAACAAAAATCTTTTTGTTGTGACTGCACATTTTTGTTGAATAAAATTTTGATGGCATAACATTGACATCTAATTAAAATTTGAATAGTAAATCTTTTTAAAAACATAACAAACTATATATCAATAAAAAGCTAAACAGATGAACTTTTCAATTAAATAAGTTTTTAACACGCATCATTAAACAATGAGAAATGCAAGGTGATCAAAACCATTGTTTTTATAAATTGCAACCAAAACATTATGTCTAAAATGAAACTTATTTTATATATAAATGAATATTTATCTTCAAAAGACTTCTGTAATTACTTAGCTAAATAGTTATACAATTCTACAAATTGTATACAACCAAAACATTATGTCTAAAATGAAACTTATTTTATATATAAATGAATATTTATCTTCAAAAGACTTCTGTAATTACTTAGCTAAATAGTTATACAATTCTACAAATTGTATACAACTTGTGGAACTTTTGTTACAAGCTGTACAAATTTTACAGTGTTAATGTTGCTTTATTTCACAACTAAAAAGAAGTTTTTTTTTATCAAGGGTTACACAAAATGGCATATCTTTTTCTAATATGTTTAATAATAATTTAATCAAGGTTTTTAATAATTTAATAATTTAAATAATAATTTAAACAAGGTGGAAAAACTTTTTGTGTGAAAAAAATGTATTTAATTAAACTTTTTGAAATTTTAATGTTTGAATTTGAAATATGTATGTTTGAATTTAAAGTATGAATGTTTAAATTTGAAATATGAATGTGTGAATTTGAAATATGTATGTTTGAACTGAAATATGAATGTAGGAATTTGAAATATGTATGTTTGAACTGAAATATGAATGTAGGAATTTGAAATATATATGTTTGAACTGAAATATGAATGTTTGAATTTGAAGTATGAATGTTTGAATTTTGACTTACAATTTAAAAAAAAAAAAAAAATTTATGATAAAAATCAATATATTAAATAAGATATAAAATATCACTTCACAATCTAAATTATGTCTGAATTTGAATTATGAATTAAATTTGAAATAGAGTATGAATTTCATTAAAGAAACTTCTAACTATAAAATAAAGAAATAATTTTTAAAGTAAAAACATAACAATTTGATATTATTAATAATATATTAGTAACAATATTATTGAAATTGTAGTAAAGTACTATATATTCGTAATCAAATTTTTTTCTTATTAATATGAAGTACTACGTACTAGTCAATTTTTTTTTTCTAAAAATAAAGTACTATATACCAGTCAATTTTTTTTTCTAAAAATAAAGGACTATGTACCAGTCAAATTTTTTCCAAAAAATAAAGGACTACGTACTAGTCAAATTTCTTCTCAAAATAAGGTTTCCTTCAATTATTACTGGGTGTTGTTCAAAACTTCAATCGTATTGATTTATTTTGTATAAAGTATGTAGTTGTGAAATAATTTATTGTATTTGTAAATATATTTGCATAACATGAAATTTGAACATTGAGAAAAACATTGTTTTAAAATTGACAGTGTTTTATGATTTTCTAACTACAAAATTTTGTCTTAAATATTATTATAACTATTAAATAAAATATAATGTAGTTTTTATTATTTTTAGTTTTATAATAAACCTTTTATAAATATGTATAGTATACATGCATATTAATACAAATCCTCTCTAAGTTTAAGTTTTTGATTCCAAAAATAAAAATATATATGTTTAAAGATTTTAAAGTTATAAATTAAACCAAGCTACGATTCAAGCATTTAAAATTCTTTCAAGGCATCATATGTAATTGTATGTTACAACAATCAAATCATTAAGTTTGCAAAGCAATATCATAAAGCACTAACTCAATTTTTCTAACTTCTGACTGAGTTCTGCAACAGTAGATTTTAGAACAAGTAGGAAAGTCTATTTTAGTTTTTAAAGTAATAGAAAATTTTTGAATCTAAATCCTGAAATTAGTTTTCAAATTTCTTCTTCAAATAAGAGGAAATTGTTTTTATAGCTGATTTTCTTTAACTAAATTCAGTTATGGAAAATGTTTATTTTTGGGTATTTTGAACAAAATTCGTTATCGATTTATGTTTTTTTTATGTATGAAGTTAATTTCTGCTGTTGTCAATCGTGACTGGAGAAATATTGTTGAAAAATCAAATATTGAAAACTGGAAAGAAGCCCTCTCAGCTTTAGTTACATATAGTAAAGCTGAGGAGTTTTCTGAATTGTGCTCTATTCTTGGTGGTCGACTGGAAAATGAAATTAAAGATTACAATTCTGCTCTTGTTTGCTATATATGTGCAGGTGATGTGGAAAGTTTAGTGGCATGCTGGTGAGTATCTTGTTAAATCCTAAAATTAAATTTTAATTGAAGTGAAAATGGTTTTATTAATTGTGATTTGAATTTTTTAAATACCTAATATCTAATTGGCGTATCTTTTAATGTAAAATTTTTTTTACATTATTTTACATTTTTAATAAAGTTGGAAAAACAAAATTTTAGTATAAAGTTATTTACGTAAGTTACTAAAGACTGAAGATATGTTTGAAATTAATTATGTACATTTGTATTAGTGAGGTGTTCAAAATATGAAGTAAAAAAACATTAATATATTATCATTAAAAAAAAAATCATTATATTTTTATTATATTAATATATATTAAGTGTGTTGTTGTTGTTAAAAATATTATTAAATTTTGTGTTTGGGAATTTGATACTATCACTAGAAAGAATATTGTGTTAAGCTTCTCCCACCCTTACCTTCAATTAAATTGGAGTTTTTATATTGTAGTGTTTTTTAGGTGAGTTGCCTTAAACAAGTTTTTAAAATTATAAGTTAAAAACTTTATATTTTTATATTTGATAAGTATAAAATTAGAAAAAATATTATTTTTAAATTTTTTATAATCCTAAGAGGTTATGAAACAAATTTTAGTTATTTCAAGATAATTGTTGTATCAAAGGTAGCATTAAAAAAACATGTGTATTTATATTGTCTCTTGCTCTTTGCACTGCTGACATTTTAAAACATTTGATATATTGTCTCACGCTCTTTGTGAAGCATGTTTGACTCTTTTAAACATTCAATATATTGTCTCTTGCTCTTTGTGTAGCACTGTTGACACTTTAAAACATTCAATATTTTGTCTCTCTCTTTGTGTAGCACTGTTGATACTTTAGAACATTCAATATTTTGTCTCTCTCTTTGTGTAGCACTGTTGACACTTTAAACATTCAATATATTATCTCTCGCTCGTTGCGTAGCACGTTTGACACTTTCAAATATAGAATATATTGTCTCTTGCTTTTTGTGTAGCACTGTTGACACTTTAAAATGTTCAATATATTGTCTCTCACTCTTTGTGTAAAATTTAAAAAAAAAAATTATGACACTTTAAAACATTTTATTTTAGTTTTAAAACATTCTATTCATCATATTTTAAGGAAAATTATAAATACTTTAACCTATTTTTTTACTTTTTTATATTTGCAAACATTCATATTTTTGTTATACTGTAGTTTTATTAAATAAATTTTGTTATAAATTTATTGCATAAATTTTAATTTTATTTGTGTTTTGAAATATATATAAAAATATTTTTTTTACTTAGGTTGAAAATAATGTTTCAGCACACAAGTTGCCTAAACTCTAACTTGTTATCATTTAGAAATTTTTATATAATCAGGGTTCCCACACCTTAAAATCCTTAATTTTAGCCTTAGTTTTAATAGTGGGAACTCTGATAATGTTTTTTTAAATAAATGATTTAAAGTATGCATTTTTACATTTTTTAGAAATAATGAAAGAAAGTTTTTTTTAATGAAGATTGTTTTTTTTATATACAAAAAAAGTGTTTTTCTTAGTAAAGTATTAAAAATATTAAATACTTTTTATTTATTTGTTGATATTCAATAGCTAATTAAAATTAAAAATTTAGATAATTGGTAATTTACTTTTTCATATTTATTAAATTTCCATATTAAGTTGTAAAAAAAATTGTTTTCTTGTAAAAAACTAAAATAAAATAAAGATGTTGTTTTTGTATAAGTGTATTAATGTATGCCAATATTAAAGTATTGTTTCTAACTTTTAAAAGAAACTAATTTTACTATGTACTTAAATTTATTTAAGAAATTTTATTAAATTACTATTAGTTTATTTATTTCACTTTTTTAATAATAATTAAAGTCTTAATGAATCAAACTTTAAAAAGTTCAAAATTTAAAATATTTTATAGGAATCATTCTTTGGTTGCAGAAATTAAGGATCATTCCTCTGTAAACACTGAACTGATGTTACAAAACCTTATTGAGAAAGTCATGATATTAAAAAAATCAACTGAAAATGAACGATATAAGCCAGCAGTTAATCAAACTTCAAATGTGGCAGAAATGTTATGGTATAAATGTTATTATAAGTATTTTCATAAATATTTTTAAAATATGTCAGGGAAATTTCAGAGGTTTTGCATTCTATTTGTTTTCTTTTTAAATTCAAATATAATATTTTGATACTTTCTTCAATATGTTGTTGGTATATAAATTGTTTTTGTAAACAATAACTTTCATTTAATCAGTTCTCAAAATTTTGTATAGTAAATATGCTCTTCTACTTTCATCACAAGGCAATCTACAAACAGCAATGTCGTATTTATCATTCATTTCAAATCAAGTGAGTTTTATAATAAATATATAAATCAAAAAAAGTTATGATATGTAAATTAATATATAATGTGGAGACCTAAAATTGAATTTCTTTCTAAACAACATTAAAACAATTTTAAAAACTTTATGCTTAGCAATAGCCATAGTATGTACATGATTTTTTTAGGAGTATGCGTGTTATGGTGTAAATGTATCAATGTATTTGGACAAAGTAATAAAAATTCTAATTGGAATTTTTATTAGACTTCAAATTATATAAATGTAATTTATTTAAAATAAATAAAAATAACTTGTTCTGACATTAAAAATATCAAACAAAAAGGTGTTAAAGTTTATTTAGTTTTCAGTGTTAAATAAGGAAAGCCCTACAGTTAAGCATTTGTAATCTTTGTCTCCACTAGAAATTTAAATAATGTCATACAAAGTAGGAACTTAATAGATACTGTAATAATATCATAGTGCGTAGTAAGAAGCACCATAGTGCACAGTAAGAAGTATCATAGTGCACAGTAAGAAGTTTCATAGTACACAGTAAGAAGTATCATAGTGCACAGTAAGAAGTCTGAAGAATGAATAGTAAGAAGTATCATTCTGAGAAATTCTTGTTTTTTCTAGGAACACTAGGAACTAAAAATATCTTTTTAACAAATTTTTGTTTTGTATTGTGAGAATTCTTTTTATCATGATTTCAGTTTTTCGAAACAATTTTTACATTTTTAATTATGTCAACAGGCATAAAACTCAGAGTTCCATGGAAACATTTTTTCATATTATGTAGATAAATATACTCTCGAATGCTTAATACAGGGTGGTGCAAAACTACCCATATGGTTTGAATGTGTAATAACTTTTTTATCTAAGAGTTAATTGTTATGATTTTTTTGTTATACAGTATATTAAAAGGGAATATTTTTGGCTTAAGTGTGAAAAATTATATACCGCAAGTGGTGACCATTTTGGGTTTTGCACATTTGTGCCCTTTCCAGTACATTTTGCATTTTTTGTAAAATATTTGGTCTTATGGCTTGAATTTCATTGTGAATGTTTTGTTCTGACTGTGGTATAGTCACTGGCTTATTTACATATACCCTTTCTTTCAAATAACCCCAAAGAAAACAGTCTGGCGTTGTTAAATGCCAGTAAATGTGGGGGTTAATTCAGCGCAAAAAAAAATGTCTTTGTCAAAGAGGTCCTGTAACAGAGCCATTATGTCCCTTGCAGTGTGGGCTGTGGCTCCATCTTGATGGAACAACAACTGTGGATGGTTTTCTACAGTTGACCTCAAAAATTGTCGAGCATTGTTTGATATTCAGTACCAACAACCGTAACTAAGGTGCCATGTGCATTTTAAAAAAAGTATGGACCAATGATCTTTTTAGATGATAGACTGCACAAAACAGTACACTTAAGCGAGTGTAATTGTTGCTGATGAACTGTTCTTGGATTCTCAAAAATAGAGTTTTTTGTGCCAAAATTATTTTCATAGTTTTTTTTATTAGAATAGCTATATTTATATATAAAATGCATAGATAAAGTAATAAGCATGTAATTATATTAAAAAAAAAATGTGCGAAATATTTTTAATGGACAACTTTTACCAGTGTAAGCATCAAAAATATTACTTTTCAATTCATGTATTTGTCATAAAATAACTTTTTTAGATTTATATTTACAGAACTTATATATTATAACAGTAATGAAAGATTTTGTAGGCATTTTTTGTGTACTAAACATCTTTTTTACATGTTCAGTATTTCTCATAAACTGACCATTAACCGAAGACCAATGTTTTGCTATAACTTTTTATTGCAAAAAGTAGCAAAATATTTATGATGCATGACTGTTTACATACAATTAGCATCGGATTTACATAATCAAATGTATGGATATTGGAGGATGGTTTATCTGATACCTAATAGTAAAAGTTATTAGGAAAAAAAATTTTGAAAATTGTCTGTGTTTGATTCATAAAAACTAATGATTACACTTACGTTAAATTGTTTTTAAAAGTCTGAGCAAAAAAAACATTGTTAATTAAAATAATATAATTTGAAATGATAGCCAATAAAGTTAATTTAAAACAATAGTAGCGCAAGAAAGTTGATAAATAAAAAATGCTAAATAGCGTTTTGGAACTTATGTTAAATTAGCATGTAAATAATCGCATAAAATAATGCTTCCCACTATGATCTAGTAAATAAGGTGAAGGGGGGGGGAAGGGGAGGGTTAATAAAAGTGTGGATGGAACTTTTTTACAAAACACAAATAAATAAACTTAATTTTATTGTGGTTTGCAGTCAAATGTGCTTTTTTTAACAGCTGCTTTATCATAATTTCAATAGGAATCAATAAGTTTTTATAAATTTTTTTTTCTATGGTGAGAAATAAAAGAAAACCTAATTTTTGACCAATCAAGATTTAGGAGATTTTTAAAGCCTGATTGCACTGAAAGTTTATATTCTTATCAGTGACTTTCATATCTTTTCTGATTTATTTTTCTTACTTTTGAGATGTTTGTTGATAAAAAGTAAAAATTATTAAACAGGCGTTAGGGGAGGGGGGGAAAGACTAAGGGTCTTAATAAGCTTGAAGTGGGAAAAATTCTGAAAATAGTTAAATGTTAATTATTTTCCCATTCATTAAGCACCTAAGAGTACTGCTCTATTATGCAATAATATTGAGCACTCTTATAATCGCAAAATTTTTTGATTTATTATTGATATTTTTAATTTTATTATTCTTATTATAACAATAATAATAATAATAATGATTACTATTATTGTTGTTATTATTGTTATTATTATAATTATTATTATTAATAATGATTATTATTACTGTTGTTTTTATTATTGTTATTATTATTATAATTATTAATATTAATAATGATTATTATTATTGTTGTTATTGTTATTATTGTTATAATTATTAATATCAATAATAATTATTATTGTTGTTGTTATTATTGTTATCATAATAATTATTATTATTATCATTTTATTATTTTTGTAGCATAATAATACAATAGGTTTTTATGTATATATGTTTTTAAAAGTTAGTCATTGATTTTGCTGATAGGCTGTTGAGATACTAAAGGATAGAATATTCCATTCATCTGGGACTTTTTGTGTTAATCCACCTTCTTTTCCGTTTGAGCGTATTAATGTAACAGCTCATCTAGAAGTTTCTTCAAAGGTAAAGGTTTATTAATTATAAGTAGATAATTTTTCATTAATAATTTGTTTACTATTTACATTTTTTATATATATTTTCATTATATTTTAAATTTATAAAATAAAATAATAAAATTCAGACTTACTTTCAGACACATTCCAATAAAGTACATCAAGCAACGTTAAAACAGCAGTTTAGCCCAGTTGAACCAAATTATTCTGGTTTGTATAATTCTGCTACTGTTGCTCATTCTATTTCAACTGTATCTAATAACCAATCAGGTGCTTACCAAACACCTGCATTCAATTCATTAACATCCTCCACTATAATAAATGCCAACCCTCTACCTGCTAAAGCACAGTATTCTCATCAAACTGCTTTCAACCAACAACTAGCTGAAAATAGTAGTTCATTGAATCAAATGCCAAACAATTTTTTATATAATCCACCTCCACAAAATACAAACTTTAGTTCTCCTTCGCCACCTGTAAGCAAAGTTTACAATCCAACAATTATGCAACCAACAAAAACAGGTAAAAATATTTTAAATTAAAACTATATTCTGGATTTCTTATTTATAGATTCTTATACTTAGAAAGAAAATTTTTACATATTCATATTGATGTATTTACATTTCTGTAAACAGTGTTCACTACTCATAATAGTTCTTGATATTTAAACATAATGGAAAATTATCTCATATAAACTATTAAAACAGTATGAACCTCATAAATAATAACAAATTTAATATTTAAAACTTTGTAAAAACCCTAAACTTTATAAAAAGAACTTAATAAGCAATAAACTCTAAACTTTATATATATATATATATATATATATATATATATATATATATATATATATATATATATATATATATATATATATATATATATATTAGGGTGGGTCATAAAATTTTTTTTTCTTGTCAAATATGAGAATGATTGTGATTTAAAGGGCGCAACTTTATTGGGAAAATTACCGGTACCCTAATTTTTTGGAGAAAAAAAGTTTTTTAAAAGAAGGTCAACCTGGTACTAAAAAGAAGCGAAATTTTATAAAAAATTCGAAAATTATAATTGTTTTATAAAAATCATATTGCTGAAAAAATTGTTATTAAAAAACATATTAAAATGCACCTTTTTTACTTTTAGTTAAAGAACTATAGTTGTTATGCAATAAAATCTAAAATAATAATTTTTATATGAAAAAATTATTATTTTTGAATTAATAATTAACTTAAATTTTTATAAAATTTTTATAAAATTTCGCTTTATTTGAGTACCTACATCACATAATTTTGAAAAACGTTTTTTTTGAATAATAATAGGGCTTGCTAATTTTGGTATATATATATATATATATATATATATATATATATATATATATATATATATATATATATATATATATATATATATATATATATATCTGTGTGTGTGTGTGTGTGTGTGTGTGTGTGTGTGTGTGTGTGTGTGTGTGTGTGTGTGTGTGTGTAGAAAGAACTACAGATAGCTACAGATAGAATTACCCTCAGATAACGACAAAATAGAATTACTGAAAGTCAGTTTCCTGATTTCTAAAACATCTGAAAGAATGTCATTTGTTAAACTTTTACTAGAAAATATCAAATAATGATTTTGGCATAAATGAAAACCGTCTTATCGCGCTAGTTGTTGTTAAAGCAATACCAAATATTATATCACTATGACTATTTAAAAACTTACAAAACGTTTATATGTCCTTTGCACACATTTTCCACAGGTATTAACTCCAAAACATCTTTCACATGCCAACTTAAACATTTAAGCCAATCTTCATTCTTTTCTTTATTTTTGTTTTCACTGATTTATCTTTTTTTTTTTTGACTTCTGTTTAACACTGGCCACATTTTTTATTAGAGTCTTTTTAGCAGGAGGCTCTTTTATAAACTTAACATTATCTAGTAATGTAGTAAGAGCAAAATGACGTTTTGAGTGAGTAGGTTTGCTGTTTTCTGAAGAAGATACAATAGTCATTAAAACAGATAAATTTGGGTCTCGTAGATGAATTTTTGTTTTATTAATTATCTCTTTTTTTTGTATTCACTCTTTCACTGTATTTCTTGGGGAATGCAAACCGTAATAGTAAAACGCATTAACAATCAATCCTCTTTTTGTAAGTATGTTGAGCCATATTTTGTTAACAATAACGTGAAAGTTTCAACGAAGCATAGAAATATTATCATTTTCTATCTATTAGACAAGGCCTAAGACCACATATGTTAACTACTTTATTAACATGTGTGTCAAGTGGTTGAAGGTCAAATTATTTGGTGGTGGTCAGATTTTCATAAAATCGTTTGAGTTTGGCAAAAAATTGTTGATCTTGTTTCTATGTTTATGGTAAAGGCTTTGTTTCAATTTTTTTTGTTGCCCTGAATCCATTCTCTAAAAGATCGGATTCAGGTTGACAAAAAATTGTGTGTGTGTGTTTGTGTCAGACTTCTCTATTTGGCCGATGCTTAGCACTCAAGCCTTGTTGTGCTTGTCTACATGCACTCAAATTATTTGGGTGTCAAAATTATTGAGTGTCTCAAATTATTGAGTGTCAAAAAAACACCTTCCAAAAAAAATTTTTTTTTTTACTAAGTATTTTTTTAAATGCAGCAAATCTTTTTTGTTCATCAAACACTTTGATGAAAAGTTGTAACAACATTTTTATATAATTTATTGAAAAGTTGTAACAACATTTTTATATAATTTTATTGAAAAACATGAGCAAATGTGAAACTTATGTCCTACGTACATAAACTTCATATTATGAAGTTTATGTACGTTAATACATTAATCATAATAATCATTTAGTTTAAAACTCACTTAAACATATATCAAGTTTTACAGTTTGACTTTCACTTAAAAATTGCATTGCGTCAACCTCTTTTTAATTTTTGATCTACAACATTTATTTCTCTTAAAAACAAATTTTATATAGTTTTAAAATTTCAATGACCAACGCGCCAGCATGGTCAAGTGGTTAGCGCGCTGAGTTTTTGAACAAGAAGGCCATGGTTTGAATCCAACCACCGGCAACTTTTTTTTTAAATTTCATAATTTGTGAAAACAAAAATGATCAAAGTTTTTCCTTGCAGAGTCGTATGTTAAATAAAAAATCTATATAGCTCATTAAGTTTAATAAAAATTGTCATCCTAAAGAACTGAAAATCTCTTCTACTTTTTTAAAAATTAGTGTTGCATAATTTGTGGGCGATTCCTTAGCATTTAGTAGTCTATAGTTTATAATGCTCTAAGATCTTCTAAGTTCTGCTATACTATTATAAAATCATATTGCTATTATAAAATAATAATAAACTGTGATACTGTCATAAAATTTTTGCTATAAATATTGCTATAAATACAACAAAAATGAAAAAAATTTTTAAAAATTTATTAGGGGATGTCTTTAATCCTCCAAAACAACACTATGTTTGTTTTGATATGCAGTTAAGAGAGAAAAAAACCTAATTATAAACCTCTTATAAGCTGTAGGTATGCTTAAAGGGTGTGCATGTTAACTTTTTTGCTCTTAAAGCAATTTTTTTAAATGAATTATTTTACGTAAAAATATTGAAGTAAAGAAATAGGTATGATCGGTGAGGAATAGATAAGTATAGAAATGGTAATTTCTATTTTATTTAGATTTGGTAAAGACCCATATTTTATGGGTCCAAAAAGCTAGGTTATATAAGGAAAAAGTACAGAAAAGTTTAGTGTGGAATAGACAAAGACCCGTATTTTTAAGGGTCAGATCAGCTAGTCAATGTAGTTGCGCTCCGCTGCAAGTCAGGCTATTTGTCAGTTGATGTATGTACTGAAGCCCCTGCAGTAGGCTTTTTCAGTATGACGTCACACTGCTCACCTAAATCAGCAGTATAGGATATATGTGTGTGTGTGTGTGTATATATATATATACATTTTATTTTTGTAAACTACATGTTTATTCAACTCCGATGTTTGTTCAATATATGTTCAACTTTAATCTAAAATGAATATTAAAATATATAAGAAAAAAAGTTAGTTAAGTATAAAAATAGTTGTAAAATTCTCATTATTTTAGATTTTGCACCACCGCCAACTGGTGCAATGGGCTACCGATTAAATTTTAAGACTTCTAAACCAGAATCTGTCAACCAACCATCTCCAACGCTTCAGCAATCTGTGAATTTATATAATCCATCGTTTCAAGAGCCCTCTTTAAATGGTAGTCATTTAAAATATTACAAAATAAAATCTTAGAAAAAATAGTTGATTAACTTTCATTTGAATTTTTTGTTTTGTTTATTAAACACACAGTAATAGAAACAGTTTATTCGGAAAAAAAAAGTATTTACTAAACAGTTAGCATTTTAAAACCACCATGTATTTGGAAAAAAAATTTTACCCAACAGTTTTGAAACCACCACACTGTATATAGTTATTTGAAATTTGAAAATATTCTGTTGACATCCAATAAAATAAAATAGGTTTAAATAGTTGAATTTATGAATTTTGGTTTTGGCAATATGTAGCTTTTAGAGATCAAACTTTAGTTTTGTTTTAGTTTTAGATATATAGCTTTTAGAGTTCAAACTTTAAATTTTTTTATATTTTAGTGTCAAATAAAAATATGTCAATTATAGTGTCAAGTAAAAATATTTTAGAAAAATTAAGGTAATCAGGGATTGGGAACCATATTAATCAGAATATTTGAGTTCCACTGCCCCAAATATAGATAGAATTAAAAAAAAATGTTTTGTAGTACTTTTGTAAACCTAGATTGAAATATGTCTGAAAAATTTAAATATTATCCAAAAATATTCTTATTGTTTCAATATGACATAAATTTAACAACCTCCGCTAGTTGTCATTATAGTATGCATTATCTCTAAAGATTACTTATCCATTAACAACAGATCTTAGAGTTGGTCTAATATATTTTTCAGTTTAGTTTTAACATTAAAAAATGTAAAAAATTTGTTTACATTTTAACTTATTTACATTTGCACTCAATAATAGCTTTTAAAAGACATGCATATATATTATAATATATATTTTTTAATTTTAAAGTAAAATTGTTTTGTAAAAAGTATGTTAGAAGTTGTCCATAATGCTTGCTTTATACAGACTTTGTAGATAATCTCTAAGGCTACTGGAAACTTTGTGTCAATTGTCCAAAAACTTTTTTAAATTGTAATGAACAGATTTAGAGGCCTATTCAGTAGGGCGGGTCGTAACCATACTTTTTTTTAGTTTTGAGAAGCAGCACTATGTGGTGTTTATGAATTAGTATAATTAATTATACAAACTATATTAAAAAAATGTACACACACCCCTAATGTGTGTAATACACATACACCATAATTACAACATGAAATAAGCATTTTTTAACTTTTTTATTTAAATCTCTTAACAATTTTATTTAATTCATTTAACACAAATTTTTAAGTTTTTAGTTATATATTATTTTATTTTTATAATTTTAATATAGAATTTTATGTCCCATATTAATTTGAACAATATTACTTTGCTATAATAAAATTTATGTTATTTTGAAACAATTAGTACAAGTTGCAGTAAATTTTGATAATATTTTATTAAATTTCTTTTAGCTTCTATATTTGTTACATATTTTATAGTAGAAACATATATTTTATTTATTAGTAATGGAAAGTAGAGTTTAATTAATAAAAAGCAAATCATATAAGGCAGCATTTCATACTTGCAGTAATACTGACAACATAACATTAGGTCAAGGTTCTAAATTTCCAACATCAATGATACCTACAAAAAGAGATATTGTAAAATATTGCTTTTATGTAAGCAGAAATGAAGATGCTAAAGGCAAAGTGTAAAGTAAAAACTAGAGAAATTAGTTTTCCAACAATTGAAACAGAAGGAATTTTCTGAAAAGATCTAGTTAAATAAAGAGTTTATTTTCAAAACGCAATAAGTGCTATTTTCAAAAAAATTTAGAAATTGTGTGGTTTATTTTTAGTTTATAAGGACCTAACAAGACATTGTGTATAATGAATATATGCTAAGCGAAGTATAACCCTATATTTTTCTACTTCTAAAAAACATTTATTTTCAAAACACTGTATGGAGTTTTTAATTTATTTTCAAAGTGCGGTATTTAATTATGACCAATCTGTGGCAAATGTATATTACCAATATTTCAATTATTAATATTATTTAATATATGAGACATGATTGTGTGGCGAAAAAAATCAATTATCTCAATACCACAACAATGGATATACCACATTTTTAAAATACACTCTTCAAATAGAAAAAGCATTCAGTTTTATTAAAATTTCTAGACTTAATAATAATTTTTATGCCAAATTGAAAGCTTTTGACAAAATGTTTGACATATGTTTGTGCAATTGTTATGATGCAGGAATAGAAAGAGAGAAATGATGTACTTTTAAAGTGTCAATGAAAGAATGGGATGCCTTTGTTGGACAAAATCAATACAAAGATAAATGTGGACTGCTTGATCATACTTACACATCTACTTTAAAAAAAAACTGAAGGACCAAAAAAAAATTTGTAACAAGGCAACAGCAGTTAAATACACATACAAATGTAGAGAAAGAGATGGATCGCATTACTGATGATGATTTATATGAATCTGAGGAAAGTATCGAATTAAATGTATCTAATGATGAAAATGACAAACTTTATGAATCTGATGATTTCTTAAACAAATGCAATCAAAATAGGATTTTTTATGATGAACTGGCTATTGTGACAGATCATTGTCATGTCAGTTGCAGAGCAACTGCTGCTATTGTTAATGCTGCTTTAAAAGACATGGGAATACTAAATGAATCAAATATGTATGTTAGGAAAAAAGTAGAACGAGAAAGACTTCGTGTTGGACAAAAAAATGTAATTGTGAGAAAATCTGAAAACTTGAAATTACAATGTATTGGTTTTGATGGAAGAAAAGAAAATAACAGCTACAGGAATAGTTAAAGAAGAACATATTACAATAGTTAGAGAATCAATAAGCAGCTATATAGATCATCTAACACCTGATACTGGAACTTCTCCCTGCATTGCTGATGAAATTCTCCTTTTAATATTTGAAACTGGCAGTAGTGATTCTTTAAATACTATCTTATATGTAACTGTAGTAAACACTGGTAAGTTTGGAGGAGTGATAAAACTAATAGAAACAGAACTTGATAGAATCCAGTAACTCATTTGTCAACTCCATTTGAATAAACTTCCATTTAAACGTTCGAGTTAATTGATGGAAAAACTTCTGGCCCAGCATTATTTAAAAAAGATACTGGTAAAAAAATAACAGAAGACTTAACTAATTTAGCAGTAGTTCCTTTTGGAAAAAAAAAGGTGCTTTTTATATACTTGCTCTTAACATCCTTAGTATATTAAGCTCAGATCAAAAATATTTTTGTTGTATCTGTTTATCTATTCAATCAGGAGAGGTTTTAAAATTATCTAAAAGTTTTCCTGGAAACATTCATCATGCTCGGTGGCCCACAAAATTAAATTGTGTTCAAAATCAAAAGAACTTATTGACTTGGTTACAATTATTATGCAATGCTATGCACCAGGATGGTTCCATACTAAATCACATTGTTTGCAATAGATGGTGCTCAAAACTTATGGTATCTATCTCAATCAATAAGAAATGCAGTTATTGATGTAAAATACAAGGAGGTAAAAGAGCAAATTTTAAAATAAAACTCATATTTTGCCAATACTGATAATATATTATTGGCAATGACAAAAAAAAAAAAAAAAAAAAAAAAAAAAAAAAAAAAAAAAAAAAAAAAACTGCAGCCATACAAAGGATACTCAAGTCCAGAACTAAATCTTGGAGCCAATGATTACAGTGAATTGGTAAATTAGGACAATCAGGAAGTTAATTCACCACCTTTACTGAATGTCTTTTCAAATGAAGATATTTTATAGCCAATGACAGTCTATTAAGTATTCCAAAATATCCTTGGCACAGTCAAAATATGGAAAGAATTATTGGAATAGTCACATAGGCATTAGAAATTAGATTTGGCTATGGAAAGCGTTATAAATTTGAATTTAAAAGTTAAAAATAAAAAGTTTGATTGGAAACCACAATGGAAATAAAACATTTGAATAAAGATATAAACAAAAGTATATATAATATATATATATATATATATATATATATATATATATATATATATATATATATATATAAAGTAATATAAAAATATGTATATTTTTTATAGCATCAAAAATATTTTTACTATATTTTTTCATGTTGATACTTATCTTAATAATGAAATCATTTTGGTGCTTATCTTGAAGGAAGTTTTTTTAAAGTTATATTTCTTTTTTAAAACAGTAAATTATTAGAGAATTTTTATTGTATACAAACTAAATCACAAAAATTAAATGGTATAAAACACAATTAAGATAAAAATTGCTAACCATAACCCCATTTTTCTCTAAAATACTTTAAAATCTGATTTTGTGTGAGACCCCTATGGAGGCTAGCACAGATCTCTAAATTGCTATACAACCTTTTTATATAACCTTACACAATTTGCTTCTTAAAAAAAGTTGACCTGCCCTACTGTTTAGACCAAATACCTAATCCTTTATTTTGATAGAATTTTAATCTGTGTGAAAAATTCATGCACTTGGTTTACAGTTAAAACAAATGCCTGAATTGAAAAATTTTCTACTTGTTAATGGTTGTTTCAAATTCAAATAACCCAAAATGCAACAGATTTTAAACATTTAAGGAAATAATTATAGAACTAATATGTTGATTTTTTCTTAGATGATTTAAGTTTCAATAACTTTTTCTAAATGTTACATGTCAAACACTACTTTAAGAATGTAATTCTTTGATAATTTTCTCTCTTTTATTATTGTCTTGACAAGTTTTAAACTTAAATAGAAGTACCTAAGGGTAAATATGGAGAAGCTAAGCACTGACTAGGATCAGAAACAAGACATAAGTCGAGTAGAGAAGGTAAATAATTTGGATTGTCTGGAAAGCGAGTTGGAAAGTAGACTATTTGTGTTATAGATTGAGAAAAGCAAAATTTGTGAGGTTTTATGCCTGCAGAGTCACTGAGAGCCAAGCCATTCAGAGTGATGAGCATTAAAATCACCAACAACAAGGATATTGGCTGAAAGAAGGGGAAGTATAAGATCAATTTGATTAGAAATAACATTGAAAAATGCAGTTTTAAGAATCAGGAGAACGATATAGAACAAAGAGAAAGTTGATAGAGTAAAGTGTAGCTAAACAAAATCACATAAAAGAATAGTCTGTGGATTCAAAACTAGTTTCCTGATAAATGGGTGAGTTCTTATGAATGTAAATGAGTTCAAGCATGTGACTATTCAAAAAAAAGAAGAAAAGAAAAGCCTAGAAAAATTACTTCTACTTACATTATTTAATAGGGCCTCGTTACTAATAATAACCCCTAAGCTGTAACAAAGCAGCCTCTATGAGAGCTATCACAGAATTCAAGAAACCTGACTATCAATTGGCCTCAGAACCATTAAACTGAGTTTTAGAGCTGTACCCTTATTAGTAGATGATAGAATGAGTTGTCTAGCCATAAAAACAGAGACAAACAAAAACCATGCATTGAGTCAAGAAGATCCAGCATTCAAAATCCTAAACTTGAAACTTCAGGCACCATCTCTAGCCTTTACTCAACAAGGAACAACCAGGCAGTGGGGTATGTTAAGTCAGAGTTAAATTCTCCTAGCTTTGCCTAAAAAAGTGTATCCTACAAGGTAGAAGGAAGTGACACAGGTTGTACTGGGTTACTTGATAATAATTAGCAGGATAAACTGGCCTGATACTTCTTTTGATCATTTTAATGTTGACACATTGTATCTGAATATTTGATAAATGTAGTTTGATTGAATTATTATTATGGAATTTTTGTTGATTTTAACCTAAAAGATCTCATAAACTTGTCTCAATTAGTTCTTACAATGTTTTGCTCTTACAATGTTTCTTGACTAGTTAGTAAGTAATCTTATCAAAAGTAAAATTAAATTACATTTAAAAATATTAAATTTAAATGGATTACTCATGTTAACAAATGGTGTTAGTTTTTATTACAACCCATTTAATAAAGTGCTTTTAATAGTTTTATCTTAACTCGCTAGTCATAATCATTTAAGATTCCATCTTTACCCAATTTGTTTCGTACATTGCTTCTAAATAAGTCTCTTACTTTTCAGTTCACAACTGTTAAATTTATTTCTGAAACATTTTTTCAGAAGAGCTTTTAGATTGTTCAGTTCACAACTGTTAAATTTATTTCTGAAACATTTTTTTAGAAGAACTTTTAGATTGTTCAGTTCACAACTGTTAAATTTATATCTGAAACATTTTTTTAGAAGAGCTTTTAGATTGTTCAGTTCACAACTGTTAAATTTATTTCTCAAACATTTTTTTAGAAGGGTTTTTTCTTTACTTTTGACTTCAGCCTTTTCAACCCTCATCAATTTTTATCCTTCACTGGAAGTTTTCTTTTCGATTTTTTTGAGCTTTGAAGTTTAACTTGAATTTGAAGTTTGAAATTTAAGTATGAAAAAAAGTTTATATTTAAGCTCAGTTTTTTTATTTCTGACATTTAATATAAATTTAAAGTTTGAAATATTAAATCAGTAGCAAATGATATGCCCCCCTCCTTTTCACTAGGGTTGCCATGTCTGGCTTTTACAAAGGAGAACGCAGTAAAAAAATTTGTTCTCAGTTTTGGTGCTGTATTCTTCTTCGTAAAAGCCAGACGTTTGGCAACTTTCTTTAAAAAAAATTAAGTAATAAAAAAGAATAATAATAATATATATATATATATATATATATATATATATATATATATATATATATATATATATATATATATATATATATATATATATATAAAAAGAAACAAAAAGCAAATTTAAAATTAAAAAAAAAATGTATATATATATATATATATATATATATATATATATATATATATATATATATATATATATATATGTATATGTATATATATATATAAGAGAGAAAAAAAAGAAAAGTTAGTTAAACAAATAATAATGATATATATAATAATTATAGTAATAATTATTATATATATCGCTCATTAAAGAAATTATATAATAAAGACAACTACAGTACAGAGATAAATTATAAAGAAATACACTCTAACAATATGTTTTTAAATTGAATTCTGTTGAGCAGTAAATAATCCATAACAAGGAGATATTTTTTTTTAGACTTTTTTATTAATGCAGGAATTCACTGGTTCCAATCGGAAATACATTGTTGTTTTATGGAAAACTTACCAAATTTAATGTTGAAAATAGAAGAGTATAGCTAACTATTTTCTATATTCCTGGTGTGATAATTATGAATTTCATTTGTTTTAATAAAAAAGTTTAAAAAAGAGTTTGGTAGTTTATTTTGTTATTTATTGTTATTTATTGTTATTTAGGTTATAACTGTATGGTTTTGAAAATGCAAACAGTATCTGATGGACCCTTTTTCAAATTTTGTTTTATGCCTTATTTCTTTATGCCATATCTTTGTCTAAATTTTCTGTTTTGTCTAAATTTTTTGTTGCTTTATTTTTTCTAATCTTGTCTTTATTTTTTCTAATTTTGTCTTTGATTTGTGTAAAAATATGAATAATATAACCTTTTTCTTTAATTTCAATGTTAATATGTGAATCTTTTCCTTTAATTTCAATGTTAATATGTGAATCTTTTCCTTCAATTTCAATGTTAATATGTGAATCTTTTCCTTCAATGTCAATGTTAATATGTGAATCTTTTCCTTCAATTTCATTAATAATATGAGTCTTTTTCTTCAACTTTAACAATAATATGTGAATTTTTTCCTTTGATTTTAAACCCATCACACTTAAAGTTTAGGTGTTAATTACTTCAACTGAAGATACCATCACTTAAAATTGCTTAAAGTTGCTGTTTGCTTTTCTAAATTTGTTTTGTTTGCTTTAAAATTTTGTTTTTACAATTTTATGTGAGACAACTTAAAAAGTTGTTCAGCATAGAATTTTAAAGATAGGCACTTTCAACAAAACTAAACTTCTAAACATTTAATTATTTTTTCTTTAAGAATTTTTGTTTATTGTGAGTAGTTGTTAAAAAAAATTGTTACAGTTATGTTCTTTTTTTAAAAAATTAATTTTTAAATCTTTATCTTCATTGTAGTGCCTACTTTACCTTCAAATCCTATGATTCCATCAAATCCTATGGCTTCTTCAAATCCTATGATTCCATCAAATCCTATGATTCCATCAAATCCTATGGTTTCTTCTCCTGTTCAATCACAA